AAAAGAGGTATTCGTAAAATTTAGAGAGGAGTGGCAGTTCAAGAGAGGTTAATGCCTGTTTTTTTTTTTTTTAATTAACTGTCCCATTATTGGAACATGAAGTATATATTTCTAACTGCCTTTCATTTTTAATCTCTAAATATTGAACAAAGCACTTACTTTGTGTAGAGGCAGGACAGGGACAGGAGCAGGAGCACTATGATTGGAGCAGATGGAATAAAGGAGAGAGTCCTGGAGCCCTCCGTGGTTTTTTTCAGGCTTTCATTGGGATTCAAAGCAGGCAGGAGCACGGGGTGGAGGGGCAGGTCTCCCAGCTCCCAGCAAATATTCACTCTTTCTGGGCTCTCCAGCATTCTCTCAAGGCCTTGCTTCTCTCTTCCCGTTCTCTTTCACTCTGTTGGTGTCCCCGTAACACCACCCTTATAAGCCCAGTCTCAGCCCAGTTGTATCCATCTACGCATGCCCACACTCTATTTCAGGTGCCCGCCATCAGGCATGCATATAGGACCGCAGGGATCCATTATCAATCCTAATGGCGGGAGGACAGAAAAGCCTGATACTTTACTTAACCTAAACCTTATAAGCAGACAAAATTCAAGTAGTGGTTTTACAGAGGCAAGGAAGTAACACCAAGTGAATGAGAGGAATTCTTTAGGTGAACCTCAGCTCCCAGAGTAACAAGGGAGGGCAGGACACAAAGGATACCCTAAAACTTTTGCTTGAAGACATAAAGAGTACTGAATTGCCAGGTGTGGTTCTGATGCTTGCTCTATCACTTCAAATTATGTTTGTTTTGCCTTTTGGTATGTCTTATAATTTTTTCTTGATGATCAGACATTATTATATACTGCCAAGCAAAAGGAACTGCTGTAAACAGGCCTTTAGTAGTGTGATGATGAGGTATGAGGGAAAGGATTCTATAGTTATGATTAGCTCCCAGTTTTCTAATGAGCCTGTGCCTCTGGATTGTGAACAACACACCTATTTCTCAGGTTGGCTAGAGGGGACTGGAGTTGGGTATTTTCTTTTTCTTGCATGTAAGATTAGAACTGACAGGGGTTGAGTTAGGCTCTGATAAAACCCCAGCAGTTTAGGCACTGGTCAACTAGTTTCCCCTGTGGGCAAATCTCATGAAAGAACAGGGTGTTCTGGTATATTCCAGAATGGCAAATTTCTCTCTCTTCCCCACAAGGGCTAGAGAAACACAAGGGGATTTTTCTCTACCATTAACTGAAAACCTGGTTGAGCTCCTACAGGTGAAACTCCCACAATTGTGGGAATCGCTCTTCTGACTAGAAGAGACCTCTGGGGTTTTTGTCTCGGAATTGACAGCATCTCGCCTCCAGCCATTTGTCAATTACAGCTCAGGTTTCCTATCCCGGCAGTGGTTCATGGAGAGCTTCCTGCTCCAGGAAGCTGACTCCCGGTATTCCTCTGTCTCTCCAGTCTCCTGGGCATGGTTTGCCCTTTACCTTCTCTCCTTTCTGATTATCCAAGAAGAGCTGTTGCATTTTGAGTCTGTTCAACTTTTTCTGTTAGGACTAAATGACTACTTCCAAACTCCTTACATGTGGAAAGGAAAACCAAAATTGTCCCTATGTTTTTAAAAAATATATATTAAAAATATAAGCCTTTTATTAGAATCATTAACCTCCTGTCCATTTGCTGTTTATCATGGAATCCAGTTTTATTTTGAAATAGACAGGTATGGTTTAGCAAAATCTGTTTTCTTTTATGCTTAGACATTAATCTTCCACTCAAAGGTTAAATATTAACTAAAACATTCTTTCAGTTAGCATTTTTTGTGCTTTCTTTTACATTTAACCCTGTACTATTTAATAACCAACCTCTGACTTCCCATTGAAGACTTAGTTTCTTCAGGGAAACAAGATCTTCAAACGATGCTAATTAAATCATGTCACTTTTGGCTCAAAACCTTTGTGGACTATCTTTAGATAAAATGTTAATTTCTTTCCTTGACTTTACAAAGTCTGACAAATTCTTCTAGTACTTTCCCCATCAATCACTTAGCTCCTTCCCCACTTTTTTTTAGAATTTATCTAGCACCTTCGACTTGTTTTAGGATGAGTTGTCCTTTTTGCTTGCAAAGCACTTTCTCTGTTGAGTTTCTGATTCAGAGCTCAGCTTAAATGTCATGTCTTCAGGAAGACTTTCCCTGCACCCAGTTGTGGATCACATCATTTTGTACTTTTTTATGCACAGAACACATTACTGCTTTTTTCTTAATTATGTATTGTCCATCTCCAAGAATTCTGTGCTCTTCAAGTGATCTTTGTCTTGCTCGCCGTTGCATCCCATTCCCATAAAAATATTTGTTGCATAAATTTAATTTTTAAAAGCCACGTAAGCTTAATTTTGTTGTGTGGGATGATGGGGCAATCTATTTTTATTTTTCTCAATAGGTAACTGTTTTTTCCATTTCCATTTTTTTAATTAGCCGTCCTTTTACCACTATCTTGAAATGCCACCTCTATCAGGTACTTGATTACTACTGAAATGAAATATTAAAAAACAAACTGAAGTGAAACATTAAAAAAAACCTGTATTTGCATTTCTTGAACTGAGTATTTCTATCCTTTATTTTTTATACTGGGGATTTTTTCTTATTAATTTGAAAGGTCTCTGTACATTAAAAGTATCAGCCACTCATGATGTACATTCTCCAAAGACTTTGAAAGCCCTTTGTCTACCATCCAGCAATCAACTGAGAATACAAAAGAAAGGTGCAGGTCTACTGTGACATAAATTATACCTTTCTGTTTAACAGTCCAATACATGAACAAATACTTCTCCTATTGAGCAATAGGACGGATAGTGGAGTGCAATGTAGATTTTTATGAAGCACTCTTGAACATTTCAAGTACACTAATACTTATAACTTGTTTCATAGTGTACCATTTCTCAGCCATTCAATTTCTTTCCAGCTAAAGCACTCAAAAGAGTCTCAAGGACTAAATTATCTGATTAACCCTTTAATGCCAAATGCAAAGCTCTTGTTCACATACATGTCAAGTTTACACTGACATTTACAGGGCTTAACTAGCCATCAAAGAAAGGATTAATCTGTCCTTGGTTTATCTAAATGACCAAATAATAAGATTTAAGTGATAACCAGCTGGAGGATATGTCCTTATTAAATTTGATAGGATTTTTAAAAAGCCAAGTAATGTAATGAAGTTTGCAAAGTAATTTAGATTAACCAGGTTTGACTGCTCAATTTGGAAGTGATTCAGTGCACAGGTATAGTCATAGAGACAATTTTTAAATATTAGGCTTTGAATGTTCCTGACCAAAAAGTTGAGAAATGTTGAATGAACATCACTATATATTTTTTTAAACAATTTTCAATATCCACAAAATAAAGACTGCTTATTTTAGTAGTGAGCTTTTTTTCCCCTTCTAAGTTCCATTCCTTGTTTACTTGACTTACCCAGTTGGTATACAAAAATAAGACAAAGGAAAGACAACCTATTTCTTTAGATGTTTTGGATGAGCCCAAAATGTAAATGTTCTAAAAGCTCCCAGGAAACTCCTGCCCAAGTCTTTGAGGCACTACTTTGATTTACAAGGACTGAGTCCTACTAGCCCAAAATACCCAAGTAAAGATGCTAGGACTTGGGAATGCAGAGGTTCAAATGAGATCATTTTACATTCAAAAAGAAGTATAATACCTTCTCAAAATGTCATACTATTTGGAAAACTAAATAAGCCCTCTCCAAAACCCCTCCAAATGCCAACCTGGTCTGGTACTTAATACTAACTGCAAAATCTGAAGTTTCAATTCTCGTGGCACTTAAACCTCTAATATTGAATCTTACTATAAAATTTTACATTGTAATTATAGTTTTCAGTTCCTTAACTCTTCCTCTCCTGACCTCAAATACTTTAAAAATGGCATATAGTAAGATAATGATATTCCAATTTAGAAATGCTTCTGATATTTGTTATTCTCTGGTACTTTTCTGCATCACTAAGATTTTATTTTATAAATGATACATTCTATGCTTTAAAACAAACAGCCTTTAGAAAGAACATTATTTTTCTTTTCTCTGAACTTTTTGACAGTTAACAAATACATATTACAGTTCTTAGTGATTACTTTGAGACTTCCAAAATCAGCCCAATCATACTACAAGTATTTATTTTATAGAAACAAAAAATCAAGTTTTCTTTTTTTTCAATTTTGATTTTCGAGGTTCAAATGCTGTTATTACTATTTTGGTTCATTAGGTCACTGGCTCATTAACCTAGTGAGATAAGGCTCATGTACATTTTCTAGAAATTGAAAAATAACTAAGTTGTACTGTGTTTCTGGGAAGTAAACTCATAATTTTGTAGTGAGTTTACAATTGTACTGGAATACTTTGTGATAAAAGAATACTCTTTTCTGGTTAATCAAGGTAATCAAGGTTTAGCTATAGTGAGTGTATGCTGCAAACTGACTTTTATCTTTCCAATTGTGTGGTTAGTGATGTTAGCTTGAAACCTGTAACAGTGGGAATATTTATACTACAGAAATCAGCAAAAGCTACAAATCAGAGGTCCCGCTCCATCTTGAAGAGCTGTTTAACATTTATTAGCACATGACTGGCAAAAGCCATTTATTATTCTTTTAAAACGTAATTCTTATTTGTTCATAAGAATCTTATTTAAAGATCTAGGTGGTGTTTTCTTTATAAATTCATCTTTCTAGAAAAAGTTTAAATTGTTTCCCATTAGTTTATAGTAATAGAAATGTTAAGACTTCACTGAGAAGGTATAAATATGTAAGACCTTATTATGTACAGAGAGGTGCTTTCTTGTCAGAGATGTATGCTATTCAGAATAAACTGCTCAAAATTTGGATTTTTATCCAAAGAAATGGTATCCTATTTTTGCTCCCCCATATTTATGAAGCAAAGTATCCAGACTAAAAAATATTGGTGATTTAATGATAAAAAGTTAGAGATAATTTGTAAAGTATGAAATAAACAATTTTATTAGATGAACTAATTTATTTGACACATTAAATTAAGCAAAGAAAAATATATGTAACTGCATAAAAAGAATCACATTCTCATACTACTTGAATATACTAGCAGTGGTCAAAATAATGAATTGTGGAATGGATCCCAGGATTTAATGCAAAAACACCCTGTACAGAAAAATTTCATGCTTCTAACTTCACTGAGTCCAGTACTGAACGTGCTTCTTTATATTCCTCAGCCTCTTCCAAGTCTTTTTCATTCTCCTGAAATGAAATACAATAAAAAATTAGGTATCTACTTCTGAAAGTTCAGTACTATTTTATTTATTCAAATATTATAAAACATAACATGAACAGCTCAAAAATTTAAAAAAGCCATCTAAATTTAATCTAAATCCACAGTTTTATCACAGTTTTGTTCCTTCTTCATAGATAAATGAAGAAATAATAGGTCTTGTCTTGTCTCACCATGTATTCTCATAAAATAACTGAAAAGCATGGGCATCCAAAGTTGTTGGCATTAAAAATCTCAGAAAAAAAATTAAAATGTTTATTCTAATTCTGTCAACACAACATCACAATACAAAAGGAATTTTTATTAATGGGTGAAAAGTAAAAAGTGAATTGTGTCACACACAACAAAGGTGTCACACCAGAATTAAGCACAATCTTTGAATTAGAAAAGAGAACTACCTGTTAATGAGTATCATATATTCTAGCAAAAGAAAACAAAGCAAATTTTTCATTTTCTGGTATTAAAAAATTGAGTTTTCCCTTGATAGTTTATACAGAAAACTTTTACTAATACAGCATAACAACAAACAAATGAAATATGTAAGTTACTATCATGGGAAATTTTGTTTGATCTTTAATAGATAAAGCTATAGGAAGCAATTCATATTAGATCAATAAAAGATGGAGAGACACAAACAGTTACAGAGAAGAGGGAATGAAGTACGTGCGTATATACCTAAGATAAAATTTTAAGAAAAGGGCTCAGAATTTGCTTAACTCACATTAGTTATAAATGTCTTAAACTGCTACATTCATTACACATTTAAACACGTCTTTGTTCTCTATCAGTAAATATAAGCTCTTTGAGGGCAGAGCTATTGAATACATCTTTACACACAAATATATAATCCACAGGCAGCATTATTATTATTTTTTTAAGTGTATTTTTTTATCCTTTTAAAGGATTTATTCATTTATTTATTTATACAAGCACTGGGCATAGTCAGAAGGGCGGGAGGGTGAGAGAATTCACCAGAGCCAGAGCGGGGAGCGAAGCAGGCAGAAGGACTGAAGCACACTGCTGAGGGGAGCAGCGGGCGGCAGGAGAGGTCTGCGCGCCATGCGGGGACCCACCTCCGGTGGCCTGGGAGCAGCCGGGGATCGAACCGGCGGCGCTACAGAAGCTGCGGGCAGCCTCGCAACCCAGCGCTCAACCACTGCGCCACCGGGGAGGCCCAGCATTATTTTTTTTAAGCAGTTTAATACTGTCTCATCTATTAGAATCATGAGAAAAAAGCATTTAAACTGTTGTAAAATATAAATAGTACTTTTGCTTTGGTAGTATTTAATAGAGCATTAGTTTCCTACCTTCATTTTATTAAAAAATTATTGCCTGTTAAAGAGTTATTCTGACTTTGAAAGTTTTCTACAAATATGGGGTTAGTGTCAAAATTAAGTAAATGTTAACATCTCTCCCCCTCTTTTTTCTACTGATTTAGTCCTAATATTTCAGAGATGGGGAAACAAATATTCTTCAAAGAATACATATGATCATCATGAAAAAGCCTGACATTTTGTTATATGAACAAATATGAATCAGGGGAAGGCTATGTAACTAGTCATTAATATTTAGCTCAAGAAAGAGAAACCCTAAAATGATATTAATAAAGCAAATGGCAGAATTTATCTAATTATTGTTAACAGTAATAACTGATTCTATATGGTATTATGCTTTTATCTCTACTAAGAAGATGACTTTTAATATTCTTAGAATTCTTTATATAAAATAACTCTACCAGTGTATCACAAAGTTTTTGTACTAGCAAGTTGATACCAATGATATGCAAATACAAGTTAGTGTAGGAGGACTGCCTATATTACAGGATTCCCCCGCAAAATGATTTAGAGGCTTGAATCTGAAAAATTTCAAATCCTTTTTATAAGTACCCAAATTCATTCAAAACACTTGGATCTTTTAAAATTTCTATTTTAATGTGTCAAAAAAAAAAAAGACCTTTATGCATGAAAAGTTCAGCAATTCAAGGTATTATGGTCAATGTTAGTTCTATGAATACCTACCTTAAATCAAATGTATTTAAATAAGTTTAAGTAAACAGAATAAATTTGACAAGATTTAGTACTTTTCCTAGCGGTGTAACTTAAAGTGTAATTTAACTGAGTTATTTTTAAAATATACTGATACACAGGGCAGGTGAACAAAACAAGACATTAACTACTTTTCACTGTTAGATATATAAAATTTTGGCCTTCCATGTACTAGATTGAAAAGAATTTTAAACATAAGGCATTACTTACTAATATCTGCAGAAGATCGGTATACGCAGCTTCCAACCTGCGCTGGCAATCTGGGATCATCATTCGGGACTCTTGCAGGATCTCTGCCTATAACAAGAATCTCTATGAGACATGCAGAGATGGTAGAACTTATGTGATTAGCTCACATGTCTGTAAATATCTAAAATATTCAGAGGAATCAGAAAGAGTTATGGCTATGTTAAATGGTTTAATATTTTACTTTAAACCATGCTTACTATAAGTTAGAAAGAATGATTTTATACTGTAAAATATACCAAGTACAAGTTTTAGATCTAAACCTTTGTTGGTAATCACCTTCTCATTCGAAGTGAAAATTAACTGGAAAAGCTTTTCATAAAGCATTCATTTAAAAAGGCTATTTAAAATAAACTATTTCCCCTGCTGTCACAAAGCACCTTTATCCAAAATGGGATCAGCTGGTTATATAAATATCGCCTGCATCTTTTGAGTAATAAAGAAAAACAGTGTTCAGATAATATCACATGGAGATAATTACTGCATGAAAAAAGTTATTGAGTTATTGATCACATCGTGTGCACACTGCAGGAGGTTCTCACTGAAAGACAGAGGTAAAGAAAAATGAAAAGCAAAGACCAGCAGGTTCATATTTTTGATGCTTATCATGCATAAAAAGTTATTACTTATCCTTGTGCTTCATTTTAGGAGAGAGATTATTCTCCCCATGCAGTTTGAGCCAAATTACCAACCTGGCACCCCTCTGAATCTGAACTTGCGCCTATCTCTCCTGAAGACAGACACTACAGAATTAAACACAGGAGTATTTATTCTGAAGGATATTTCTGGACTTAAGAGCCATCATTCAAAGCTGAACTATAACATATCAAATCATAAAAGAAAAAAATCAAATCAATGACTGGAAAACTCAATCAATAAGAAGATAAATAAGTTAGTATCAGATGCCGGACTTCAAATAAGTCTTTTTCCTAAGGCAGTAGGAAGCTTTATTTCTTTAAACTATTCTCAGAAAGAGACAGAGATCTTTTAAACATTTATTTACAAAAACTATTATTTGGTCAAATACCTCTGGATATATGGGTACAAAATTTGAACATTTACTAAGACGTTTCATTACCTAGAACTCACATACTAAAAATGAAAGACATGATTTTATGGTAATCATACTGTATTTTAATATAACTTTAAATGAGTCTCAGTACCTTTTTCCTATCCTCAATAGTTTTGTTGTAGCTTACATTGTAAACAAAAATCAGAATTATAATATATAAAGATGTTCTCTATCTATATCTATTCTCTCAGATGGAAATCTGTTCTTTTAATAATAAGTAATAAGGCACAGATTGAAAGTGTCAAACACAGGATGACCATGACTTTACTTTATAATCAATCATACTATGCCTAGATATTTAATCACTTCCACTGAATGACTTTTGTATATACAGTTGGTTTGAATACATGTGAAAAATCAGTAACAGACACACTTCTTGGGTAAGCAATTCATGTTCCCTCCCCTATAGCATTCCCTTGCAATAGCTTATAAAAATTAAAAACTGTTGAAATGAACGTAAAAAATTAGGCTGAACACAAGGTAAGCCATAATGTATATATGTAAACAAAAATTTTAAAGCTTCAGTGTTATCACTGAAATGAACCTCAAACTGTGCTATCCAAAATAACTTCTATTTGTTATTATTCTCTCCAATATTAGAGAGCAAGAACCCTCAACTAGCCTATTAAAATGGACTCTGACTTAAGCAGGGTCAAGTTCAGTCTCTTGCATACACCAGCCCTAATTCATTCAATAAGTTTACTATGTACCTGTAGGATGTCAAGTACAAGATACAAAGATGAAAAACATAAGGCCTCTGTCCTCTAGTCCAGTAATAGGAGTATAAACATTAAAATAAATATTTGTCATTGCTCTAGGAAGACCAGGCTGCCAAAGGGAGGCAAAGACATACAGCGGTGCTATGAAATTTGGAATCCTTAAACCACATCTCTATCAATGATATAAATCATACTTTACCTTACAACAAAAAAATTACAGTTGTCAGAAATAATTTTAAAAGACTGTATATAAGGTATGATAAGATAATAAAGATAGCCCTCAAATTACCTAAACTATTATCTTTCAAAGTGTTGCTTTTGGGAGAGAGTTACTTGAATTAATGATGACCCCTTTAAAAATATATGAATAAAATTGTCAGTTTGCTCTAATGTTAACTATAGTAAGACTGAAGTTAAGTAAGGCTCCTGGCACAGATTGGGAGGTAAAAGGAACCTAAGGAAGAGAATAGGATGCAATTCTACTGATGTCTTACTGCTTTTATTTTAATTTTTAAAAAGATTTACTTTTATTTATGCATACAAGAGCTGGGGTGTAGTCCAGAGGTGGGGGTATGTGTGAAAGAGAGAATTCACTAGAGACAGAGTAGAGAGCAGAACATTCGGATCTACTGAAATACACTGCTGAGGGGAGCAGCAGGCAAGACAGACTGCTGTGTCATGTGGGTCAGCTCCCTGGATGGAATTTGTACTGCAGTGGCTGCGGATTGCTTCATAGTGCTGACACTTAAGCCCTTGCACCACCAGGGAGGTCCCTGTCTTACTGGCTTTAAAACAAGTTATGATTTTTGGGGTAGAAATTATTCAGACAAAATGGAAATTGGGATAGGTTTAGGACAACTCATATTATGACTGCATGAATAAACACAGAACCCTTCCCTTTATAATCAAACATATATACACTGGGAGAAAAAAGTACTCATTGCCAGATCTTAATTTTTTCAAAGAAAAGAGTTCTGTGAGGCCTCCCTGATGGTGCAAGGGGTTAAGTCTAAGCACAATGAAGCTACTGGCAGCCACTGCAGCACGAGTTTGATCCCAGGCCAGGGAGCTGACCCACATGGTGAAGCAAACCTCGCCTGTCTCACATGCTGTTCCCCTCAGCAGTGTATTTCAGTAGATCCACCTGTTCTGCTCCCCACTCTTTCTCTGGTAAATCCTTTCACCACCACCCCCACCTTGCACCTCTGGCCTACACCCCAGCTCTGGTATGAATAAATAAATGAATCTTAAAAAAAAAAAAAAAAAAGAGTTCTGTGAAATAATCTGGTCAATGTCAAGCTCTATTTTTTTAAAAGATTTATGTTATTTATACAAGAACTGGGGTACAGGCCAGAGGTGCGGGAGGGTGAGAGAATTCACCAGAGACAGAGTGGGGAGCAGAACAGGCAGATAGACCAAAAACACCGTTGAGAGGAGCAGCGGGCGTGACAGGAGAGGTCTGCCACACCATGTGGGTATCTCCCTGGCCAGCCGGAAATTGAACCCGCGCTGCAGGGGCTGAGGCCAGCTTCACAGCGCTGTGCTCAACTTGCTGCGCCACCAGGGAGGCCCAATGTCAAGCTCTTTTGCAACTGCTCTACTGGGATATGGTTTCTAACTTCTTTAATGATCCAGACCATTCACCCAGAATTGACTATTCCTGTAATAATCTATAAACACTGTATTATTGGATATTAGCTGCTTCTGCAACCAACGTATTAGTTTGCCAAACTGAGCTCTAGAGTAGTTCAGAGATTACTGGAAAGTTAAAAAAAGAAAAACAACAAGAAAAATCAATTAAAATGGTTTCTTTTGGGGAAAATTGATAAACCTCTAGTATTGACAAAGGTAAGCTACAAAACACAGTTATCATCAATGAAATAAGATACCACTACAGATCCTGTGTATATCTTTAACATATATGCTTTTATATATGATTATATATAATGTTACAAATTCAATCACTTAGAATGGATCAAGTCCTCAAAAACTACAACCAACCTAAACTCAGCCAATAACCTAAATAGTATTATAATCATTAAATAAACTGAATTTGTAATCTGAAAGTTCCTGACAAAGAATTCTCTAGGCCCAGAGGGTTACATGGGATAATTCTATCAAATATTTAAATAATTAACATTGTCCAAGTTCCCCAACCCCATTTGTTGAAGAGTCTTTCCTTTCTCCATTTTACCCTTTATCAAAGATTAGTCTTTGTGTGGGTTTACTTCTGGGCTCTCTATTCTATTCTGTTGGTCTGTTTGTGTTTGTTTCAATACCGTGCTGTTTTGATTACTATCACTGTGTAGTATAACTTGATGCTTTGGACATATGGGGTCTTTTGTGGTTCCATACACATTTTGTAATTGTTTCTATTTCCTTGAAAATCATCAGCTGGGTTTTGATAGGTAGTGTTGAAGCCTTAAGTTGCTTTAGGTGATATGGCCATTTTAACAATATTTATTATTCCAATGCATGAACATGAAATATCTTGATTTCTATGTGTCTTATTTCCTTTGACAGTATCTTACCATCATTAGCAGCTTTTAATACTTTATCTTTGACTTTTGATAATTTAACAATGATGTGCTTTGGTGATGGTCATTTTACATTTAGAAATGCATACTGTCTTTGGTTTTCCAATCATCCCTGTTTAATTTTTTTCATAGGTTTGGCCATTTCTCAGGTATTATTTATTTGAATAGGGTCTCGGCTCTCTTCTGCATTTTCTCTAAATCTTATTTCTCTCTTTTTCCACTTAGGACAGTTGTATATTTGTATCTTCAATTTCTGAAATTCTCTCTTTTGCCAGCTTAAGTCTACTTCCTTTTGTTCCTGGATCTCTTTTCTGAGATCCTGAACCTGTCTTTCTGTGTATGAGTGCCCTACTAAGCCACTAAGATTTCACTGAGATTTTAGTGTTTTTTTTTTTTTTTTTAATAGAAGAACTGGGGTGTAGGCCAGAGATGGGGGAAGGGGTTTGGGGTTAGAGGATTAACTAGAGAGAGTAGGGAGCAGAACAGGTGGATTTACTGAAATATACTGCTAAAAGGGAGCAGCAGGTGACACAGGAGGTCTGCTTCTTCATGTGTGGGTTAGCTCCCTGGTCGGGGATCAAACTCAGGCTGTAGAGGTGATACTGCTAAGATTTAACTCCTACACTACTAGGGAGGCCCTTTAGTGAGTGTTATTTTAAAATATATGCCTGTCAGGTCCTTGAATTCTGTGCCCTTTATATAGGATTTCTATTATTCTTTCTCAGCTTTTCTAGCTGTGTTCAGATGTTCCTTGCTTTCCAGTACATATATGTTGCTATATTTGCTTTTATTTTCTGGTTAGGGGCTCTATGTCTTTAGTTAGTTTTTTTTTTTTTTTTTAATCTTCTTTGTTCAATTTGGCAGCAGGTGAGGTAGGAATGGGAAGTTAGAGTCCATAGACACACTCTTAGTTTTGGTGGGGATGGAGGACTATTTAAGGCAGAGAGATTTACATTGCCTCTTCTCCACTTTTTCCAAAGCAAACTGTTCACTGCTTCAAGGAGCCCAAATTACAAGTCCTCATCACCTCCTTGCTGCTGCTTTCTGTAATCTCTCTGATCTCCCAGTAGGGAGGAAGGGGGAGAGGGACGCACCACCCATGCTGTTGGTAGCAATTCCTAGCAAATGAACCAATGATCCTGGTGCCCATGTGCATGTAGGTCGTCTGCATTTCCTCTCACTGAAAGGTTCACTGAAGAGATTCACCCATGCCTAGTTTATATGCAGGGCTGTCAGGGCCAGTCTTGAGCTTGAGCTTATTTGAGGAACTGGAATGGCTACCGTCTGCAGCAACTCTCTTGGCTTCTGCTTGTGTGTCCAGACAGTGAAATAACAAACTCAGCGCAAAATATCCATGTTTCAGTTCCTTACCATCAGCAACGAACTGGTGAAATTTCTCATGACAAAATTTAGTTTTTCCTAATTGTACCTAAGGGGGAGGTTTACCAAAACCTACCTACTACACCAACGTTTGGGTGAAGTTTTATAAAAAGCCAAATTAAAAAAATTATATACCCTTTGACTCTTTCATCTAGTACAACAGTCTTGAAAAACAGTAAATTATTTAGAACTCAGGAAGTGGAGAGGACAGGGTAATAAATAAGTAGCATGAGCTGTCTTACGATGGAATAGTTCTCAGATCTCAATGTTATAGTAGTTACACAACGCTACACACGTGATAGAAATGCACAGAACTATGTACACACAATGAGTATCAGAAGTAAAAATATGAATATGTTCTGCAGTGTATCAAAATCAGTTTCATGGTTTGGATATTGTAACATAATTATACAAGACAGTAAAATTAGGGAAGGAGTTGTGAAGGGTAGATAAAACCTTCTCGAATATTTTTTGCAATATCCTTATTAGAATACTATTAGAAAACTATTTATAAACCTGAGGACATGTACCAAGAGAAATAATATTTTCTTGTACCACTAGATATTATTGTAAGTACTATTTTGGTTAACGATTCAACACTTTTAAATTTCTTACAAAATCAGCCTTATACAAGATAAGTCTAATTCCTCTTTATATACTGAAACCTATTATTTTCCATGTTTACTGAACAAAATTTTTCCCTTCATTTTTTAGAAAAAGTATCACATTGTAAATGTTAACTCATATTTCAAGTAAATCACAAAAAAAACAGTTTTACAACAGTATGATATATGTAATAACTGCAAAGTTTTGTGAGATATCTCCAATCATAAATTGTACCTGTTTGTTTTTTAATATTACTTCTGGAAAAAAGAGATGAGGCATGCCTTAGAGGAATTAATTGATACATCGGTCATTCCAGCAAATCGTGCTTTAAGATAGATTAAAACAAAATAAAATAAAACTAGAATACTTTTGCCAGTTGAGGGTTAAATCCTCTGTATTCATCCCTATCTGGAAGATAGGGAGAACAGAGAAGAAAAGGGATTCACAAGCAGAGAGCTTATGAATGTGAGAGATGTACAAAATTATGTATTCGTGAGAATACATTAAAAGGTATTTAATCAGAGATTTGCTATGCTCACCATAGAAAACATCACGGAAAACAAGTATATGTTTTGTGGGTGCTCTGTGCACCAATTAATTAAAAACACACTCTGTGATAATGTGATATTTATAGGATTTTAGTTTGGTTATTATCTACTTCATGTAACTTAGAACTGCTATTCCAGTTATAAGGGTATTTTAAAATAAATATTGGTGATGGATGAAAGAACTGAAACCATAAAATATATAGAAAAATATAGGTAAAACACTACAAGACGTACACCGCAGCATCTTTGCAGACTCATCACCAAAAGCAAAGAAAGTCAAGGAAAAGATAAACACCTGGGATTACATCAAACTGAAAAGCTTCTACACAGCAAAAGAGACATTAACCAAAACAGAGAGACACCCTACTGATTGGGAAAAAATCTTTGCACTCCAGTCAACTGATAAGGGACTGATCACAAAGATATACAAAGAACTCACATGGCTCAACGCCAACAAAATAAACAATCCAGTCAAGAAATGGGCAGAAGAACTTAAAAGACATTTCTCCAAAGAGGAAATGCAAATGGACAACAGGCATATGAAAAAATGTTCACCATCCCTTATCATCAGGGAACTACAAATTAAAACCACACTGAGAGGGCCTCTCTCGTGGTTCAGGCGGTTGAGCTCAGCGCTGTGAAGCTGTCCGCAGCCTCTGCAGTGCCGGTTCAATCCCTGCCGGCCTCGAAGCAACCCACATGGCAAGTAGACCTCTCCTGTCTCGCCCGCTGCTCCTCTCAGCAGTGTATTTCGTCAGTCTGCCTGTTCTGTTCCCTGCTCTGTCTCTGGTGAATCCTCTCGCCCACCTGTGCATCTGGCCTGTACCCCAGTTCTTGTATAAATAAAAAACAAATCTTTAAAAAAAAACCACACTGAGATACCACCTTACACCAGTAAGAATGGCACATATCAAAAAAACAAGCAACAACAAATGTTGGCAAGGATGTGGTGAAAAAGAAATTCTCCTACATTGCTGGTGGGAGTGCAAACTGGTCCAACCACTATGGAAAGCTGTCTGGAGGTTCCTCAGTCTACTAAAAATGGAGCTACCATACGACCCGGCAATTCCACTCCTAGGATCTACCCAAAGGATACAAAAACACTGATTCAAAAGAACACCTGTCCACCTATGTTTATTGCAGCACTATTTACAATAGGTAAAACCTGGAAACATCCCAAATGCCCAAAAACAGATGACTGGGTCAAGAAGATGTGGCATATATACACACAGGAATATTATTCAGCAATCAAAAAACATAAACTCATGCCATTCGCAGCAATGTGGATGGAACTAGAAGGAATTATGCTCAGTGAAATCAGCCAGAAGGAAAAGAAAAATATCAGATGGTTTCACTTATAGCAGGAATATAGGGGAACCCAATAAGACATCAGTAAAAAAATACTAACAGTACAAAACACAACAAAGCAAAAATGGACAATTATAAATCAGAGACATCTTGCAGGGGAGGAGGAGGGAGAGGGATCAGAAGGAAGGAGGGAGGAGCACAGGGGACTGAGGTGATGGTGCACAGGTGCATTGGGGAAGGAAATTTTATGGGGACTCAATCTGAGGGGGTGGGGGGAAGCAAATATTGTTCAAAAATGAACAATGATGTAAAAAATATAAAAAATTAAATAAATAAATAAAATTAAAAAAAATTCTTTCCTTTCAAGTAACAAAATACCTTATAAAAATAAATAAATATTGGTGATGAAAAGAACAGGGCTGAGAAATAACTAAATAAGGTCAACAACTACACAGCTAGGAAAGTAAGCCCGTGGGGTCCAAGAGGATCTAGATGAAAAAAAGTTATAACTATTATGTCATGTTTCTCACTGATATGGGAAAATAATAGAGCATATGAAAGTGAGAGAGGTACAAAATTATATGAATATTTGTGGAAATATAGTAAAAGGTATTTAACCATCCTAATTTTAAGAAACAGAAAGTCACATTCTATATGTAAATCTGTATGAAGAACACTTCATTCATAAAGGCCAATATACTGGGTATCATACTATATATATCTCTTTACAAACCCTCCTGCAATTTATGAATATCTGATACACAAATATACTATGCTATACCACACATACAGCAAGGTTTAGTCTCCCAGAAACTCAAGAAAATAAAAAAGTTCCCTTCCTGGGCAGGTCAGGAAGAGGATATTTCAGATGTCACTGTATTCTTTTTGTATGCAGAAATCAACTACCTATGGAAAAATCCATTTTAAGTGACTAACTTTGCTGAATTAAGTGTGGGTTGTGTATTATTGCCATTTACAACATGATTTACCACCTATGAGTTCATAAATGTGATTTCAAAGATAATCTGTATAAGCTTATTCATATTTTCTTTATTCCTAGAGTTATCTGAATTTCATTCAAAATACATTGGATGCTGAATTTTAACTAAAAGAGCAAGTGATCATATTTACATTTTTAAGAAGATCAACCTGGCTATTAAAGTTGAAAAGGAATGGAGCGTGTCAAGACACAAAGAGGGATGCTATGTATGATGCTCTGTAATAGTACAGGTGATCATGAACTGGATTAGGATAGTGACATTACAGACAGAAATAGAAGGAATATAGGGTGATATTAGATGTGATTATTCGAAGGAGAAAGAAGAATCAAGAAGGGACCCACTAAATGTTTGGATTGGGTATCTGGAAGAATGGAGGTGCCGTTTATTGAAAGGGGAAAAATAAGAAAAGAAATAGATTTTTTTGAGGGGCGGGGGAGGAAAAAGGCAGATTGGATTGAGGGAAGACCAATATTTTTATTTTGGATACCTAAAAGGAGATATAGTTGGGACACACACACACACAGAGTTGAATATATATCCGGAGTTGGCTCAAATTCAGAGATAAAAATTTGGGAGCCACTGACACTAGAATGAGAAGTAGTAACTAGATTCTAGAGCCAGACTGCTGTGTTCAAATTCCAATTATGTTCTTAGCAACTGAATGACCTTGGGCAAGTAATTTAACCTGTAATTCAGTTTCCTTATCTTGGACTATTAATATATTAACTATATGATATTCTGTAAATACTAGCTGTTACTACTAGAAATACATTTTTACCTGCTTTTTAATGGCATAATTTTCACCATCTTCAGCTTTCATTTTTTCAATCTTTTCTTCTTGTTGTTTTGCTTCTTTTTCATACATCACTTTTTCTTTTACCAATCTATAAATAAACCAACGTTTCAGAAAATTAATTTTTTCTGTAGCAAACTGACTACAAGAAATAAACTATATGTATAAATCACAATAAAGTACCAAAATATATATACTAGATGGGGTTGAGGAGGAAGAAGAAGGAAAAATACCTTAGTCATAGATATAAATATGATCCTCATGCCTAAAGCAAGTGTAACTATCAAAACATGAAATTCTTAAACTACAGGACACATTCAGAATAGACAAATATATAGGCATAGTTATGACTTCTATTTTCTATGCTTTTTAAAGTAGTAGTTACTTGATAATTATTTTTTAAATCAATAAATGAGTATCTTCTGGTCAATTTTTTCTCCCTTTCTCTAGGGAAGGCTAAGATTTCATATGAAAACAGTTAAGTTTGTATAATCACAGTTTTTAATGTTACTAAATTATCTTTTCTGAAACACACATGTATATGGTCCTATAAACAAGAATATGAAAAGTTATAAAGGACAAAATTTTAAAAAATCATTCATAGGGCCTCCCTGGTGGCGCAGCGGTTGAGCGCTGGGTTGTGAAGCTGCCCGCAGCCTCAGCGGCGCCGGTTCGATCCCCGACTGCTCCCCAGCCAACGGAGGAGGGTCCCACATGGCGCGCAGACCTCTCCTGCCGCCTGCTGCTCCCCTCAGCAGTGTACTTCGGTCCTTCTGCCTGCTCTGCTCCCTGCTCTGGCTCTGGTGAATTCTCTCACCCTCCCGCGCTTCTGACTGTACCCAGTGCATGTACAAACAAACAAACAAATAAATAAATAAATATACATGCCTCTTTAAAAAAAAAAAAAAATCATTCATAATCTCACTGTCCAAACTACTTCTAATCCATAATTCTGAAATACAAAAAAGGGAAAAAAGGAATTTTTTTTTTTAGGTTTGAAATCTGGATTTTATTTTGAAGATATTTTTCTATAACATAAAGCCATCAGCAATTTTTTTCCCCCAAAATCACTGTTTTACATCCTTGCTAGTGTTGTTACCATAGAACTCCCACCACCCAAACAACCACAGTCCTTCAACATAGTCCATTGTGCCCTCTCTCTCCCTGTTCTCACCCCTTCTAGATTCCCCCCTAATCTGAAAGCTTCAGATCTATGGGTTGGTTATAGTTTGTCTTTTACTCTTTGTTTGGTTTTTCTATATTCTACTGAAACATGTAAGCCATGCTGTTTATCTTTGTGGCTTATTTCACTTAGCATAATCCTTTTCCAGCTCCTTCATGTTATTGCAAAGGGCATGAATTAATCTTTTTTGATTGCTGAATAGTATTTCATTGTATATATATACCACATCTTCTTAATCCACTCATCTGTTTTTAGGCATTTTTAAAATTTATTTATTTTTTTAAAAAAAAGATTCATTTATTTATTTATTTATTTATACAAGCACTGGGCACAAGCGCGGAAGGGTGAGAGAATTCACCAGAGCCAGAGCGGAGAGCAGAACAGGCAGACTGATGAAATACACTGCTGAGGGAAGCAGCGGGTGGCAGGGGAGGTCTGCACGCCATGTGAGACCCTCACCTGGTGGCCGGCGACCAGGTTGGCGACCAGGGATCCAACCGGCGCTACAGAGGCTGCGGGCAGCTTCGCAACCCAGCGCTCAACTGTTGCGCCACCAGGGAGGCCCTGTTTTCAGGCATTTTGATTGTTTCCATGTCTTGGCTATTGTAGGTAGTGCCACAATAAATACAGGAGTGCAGATTTCCTTTCAAATTGGTGTTTTTGTATTTTGGGGATAGATACATAGGACAGAATCACTGGGTCATATGGCAGTTGTATTTTTAGTCTTTTTAGAAACCTCACATTTCTTTTCTTATGGGATGAACCAGTCTACATTCACACCAACACTGCAAGAGGGTTCAAAATGTAAGTTTTTTAAAAGATTTATTTATGCATACAAGAACTGGGGTACAGGCCAGAGGTGTTGGGGGGGGGTGAGAGGATTCACCAGAGACAGAGTGGGGTGCAGAACAGGCAGATTGACTGAAATACACTGCTGAGGAAAGCAGTGGGTGAGACAGAAGAGGTCTGCTGCGCCATGTGGGTAGCTCTCTGGCTGGGGATCAAACTCGCGCTGCAGTGGCTGCAGATAGCTTCATAGGTTGTGTCTTAACCCCTTGAGCCACCAGATAGGCCCCTGGAAGTTTTTTTAAATTAAGTTTGATACAGCAGCAAAATGTGACTTCAGCTGACATGAAACTATACACTTTGTGTATCCTACTTAACGTCAATAGGTATGTTTCACAGCCGAAATATCAATGTGTTTTATTATAGAGATGCTATTATGTAAATGTATATATTAGTGTTAAAAAGGTATTCAGGGCCTCCCTGGTGGCGCAGGTGGTTGAGTGCCACACTATGAAGCTATCCGTAGCCTCTGCAGCGCGAATTCAATCCCAGCCGGCCAGCAAGAATCCCACATGGTGAAGCAGACCTCTCCTGTCAGGTCCGCTGCTACCCTCAGCAGTGTATTTCATCAGTCTGTCTGTTCTGTTCCCTACTCTATCTCCGCGGTGAATCCTCTCACCCTCCACCTGGCCTGTACCCTGGTTCTTGTTTAAAAATAAATAAATCTTTAAAAAAAAAAAGGTATTCAGAAATATGTATGGGCTCAAGAGTTTCATGTAAGAGATTATGGACCTGTATTAATTTTTTTAAAGATTTATTTATTTATGCATACAAGAGCTGGGGTACAGGACAGAGGTGTGGGGGGTGAGAGGGTTCACCAGAGACAGAGTGGGGTACAGAACAGGCAGATGGACCAGAGTACACTGCTGAGGGGAGCAGTGGGTGAGTCAGGAGAGGTCTGCTGCGCCATGTTGGTTGCTCCCTGGCAGGGATTGAACTCGTGTTGCAGAGGCTGCTGACAGCTTCAAAGGTTGCATCTCAACCCTTGCGCCACCAGGGAGGCCCAATCTGTATTAATATTTTCAAACTTTTCCAAGTCTTTTTCTTTAACATGTATGTGCTAAAAATACACACACACACACAAATGAAACAGATTATGTATTATTATTCCAATAATATTAATTGTTCTTTGAAAATAAAGCTGTCAGTGACTATAAAGCACTTTAGAGCAATATGACATTTTATAAAAATATCCTGTGGAAAATTTAAGCTATTATCATATTATAAATAATATAATGATGAACATCCCTACTAATACATTTTATGAATGTGAAATATTTTATTAATGCCTAAAATATATAGTGCTGATACGAAATTAGACTTTTCCAGTAAACTAGTGATCATTTACTGATGAACTTTGTCATTCATGTAATTAAAAAAAAAAATAAAGTACAACTACTAAACCAATCTATCCTATTTTAACTTACCTTTTGGTATTTTATTTTTGTCAAAAAGTATGCCAGATTTTAGTTTTTAAATATTAATAAGCTTATGAAATCTTAAATAGATGTAAAATTAAAAATAGGAAAGTGGAACATCAAGGGGAAAAATAAATCTGATCACCAATATAAGCTGTACATAGTACAGAAAACTACTGGGGGAAGATTACTTTCTAAGAATAAAATTCATATGCAAATAAGCAAAGCAAATGAATAAAACACAACAAAAATGACTCAGACTGTGAAAAATATGGCAGTCATTAAAAGGAAGAGGGGGGCCTCCCTGGTACAATCATAGTGCTGGTTAATTCGCAGCACTACAGAGCTGTCAGCAGCCACTGCAGCATGAGTTCAATTCCCCAGCTGGGGAGCTAGCCCACATGGTACAGCAGACCTCTCCTGTCTCACCTGCTGCTCCCCTCAGCAGTATATTTCAGTCAATCTGCCAGTTCTGTTCCCTACTCTGTCTCTGGTGAGTGTTCTCACCCCTCCACCTCTGGCCTGTACCCCAGTTCTTGTATGCATAAATAAATAAAATAAATCTTTAAAAAAGAGGAAGGGGAAGTGGGAAGAATGGATAGAAGGGTCAGTTTGATAGTATAAATGGTGTTAGAACTTTGATGGTGGGTGCAGTGAGACATATCCACATGTTAAGGTGAGAAGCTGGACTCTGGAAATTTATACAGTATTGTAAACATATGGCAAATCATTTTATTTAAAAAGAATAAAATTCCCAGAATTGGGAAATAAAATGCTATAATTGAAAGGACTTCCTAAGTGTCAACTACAATCAGTGAAAAAAACCCCTACATCTATGTACATTGATGAGTATTTCCAGAAACCCAAGAATATCAAAGCTTTTAAAAAGAGAATAATCTATGAAAATAAAGAGAATCAAATGGACATTATATTTCACATTAATAACACAGATATCAGAAGACAATGAAGCAATTTCTTAAGAATTGAGAGAAATGATTTATAACTTAGATTTATAACAGTGAGGAAAAATTAATTAGCAATTATTTGCTGGGGAGTAACTATGTGCCAGCCACCATTTTATAAACAAGGATACAGCAGTGACAAAACTACAAAAATCTCTGCTTATAGCATATTTTAGTGGGGAAATAAAGATAATAAATAAGCAAAATATATATAGCATGTTACACGGTGATAAATACAATAAAAGAAAAAGCATCAAAGGAGGACTGGTAGTACAGGCAATGTGTAATTTAAATTAGGATGGTCATTTCCTCTTTGACAGGGGAAATGGAGTTAAAATCTGAAAGAGGTAATAAGTCATGTGGATAACTGATAAGTGAAGTCTTAGGACAGCGAAGTGGTTGTTAGCTATATAAAAATTCAAAAAGTTTACTATGCAACCTTCCTGAGAAATTTACTTAAGAATATATAACAGCAAATTGAATATAAAAATCAAGAAAGGAAATTATGCACAACATAATACAATAGTCTATTTTAAAAAAGATCCATGGGGTTAAAAGTGTGCCACAGGACTGGAAAACAGTCTAAATGAAAATGCATCTTATAGGAACATCTGTAACAAAAGGAGTGGTATAGATTCTAAGTAACAGATACAGTGAGTAAGGAAGGAGAAGAAAATTCTAA